ACCCCAAGAACACCATCCCTACAGTCAATCACGGAGGTGGAAACATTATGCTTTGGGGCTGTTTTTCTGCTAAGGGTACAGGACGACTTCACCGCATTGAGGGGCAAATGGACGGGGTCATGTACTGTAAAATCTTGGACGAGAACCTCCTTCCAGCATGACAATGACCCGAAACAGACCGCGAAGGCAACAAAGGAGTGGCTCAAGAAGAAGCACATTAAGGTCATGGAGTGTCCTAGCCAGTCTCCAGTGCTCAATCCTATAGAAAATCTGTGGAGGGAGCTGAAACTTCAAGTTGCCAAACGACAGCCAATAAACCTTAAGGATTTAGAGAGGATCTGTAAAGAGGAGTTGATCAAAATCCCTTCTGAGATGTGTGCAAACCTGGTGACCAACTACAAAAATCTGTGCCTCTGTGCTTGCCAACAAGGGTTTCTGCACCAAGTACTAAGTCATGTTTTGCAATCAAATAAATATTTTCCTCACTGTATATGTGTAGTGAGTTTCATATGTGTACTATGTGTTCATAATGCAATTATGTGTGAGATATACATCAAGTTTTCTGACTGTGTTCCAGGGGGCGCCATGGAACCCCTGTGCCACGCCCGGGTCCCCGTCTCTGTGCGGCCCTAATGGCCGCATATTCCAATGTGTGTGCTAATTTTTAAGAGTTTTTGAGGATGTTAAGGCCCCCAAAAAGCCCTGAACGATTGAAAAAGAATAACAATAATAATCCTTAGAAAAACAATAGGGCCCTGTGCCCCTAGTGGTTTGGGCCCTAAAAATCAACATTGTATTTGGTCCCGACCAAAGCAAGTGAACTAGAGGATTTTCTTGTGTGAATACACCCTACAGAGATGGGAAGTAATAAAATACAAATACTTTGTTACTGTACTTAAGTAGATTTTTCTGGAATCAGTATGTAACACCACATCAGCAGAGGGAGCCCTCACCTGAGTACTGACTGTGTACCGCTCCCTCTGCTTCTACGTTCATTTTATGTTGAAAGATTGAACTGCCGTTATGGTATTGACTCTCTGCCTGGCCTAACGTTGCTGTCACTCAAATCTTCTATTAATAAACTTCTGCAAATAGATTCTAACGCTGCCTCAGCCTCACTGTTACACAGTACTTTACTTCACTATTTATTTTTCGGACAATTTTTACTTTCACTCCTTACATTTTTACACAAATATCTGTACTTTCTACTTCTTACATTTTTAAACCAGGCTCGTTACTTTAGTTTTAATCTGTATTTTCGCCATTCAATAATAAATCTCTAATAAATCATGAATCGGTTAGTCTTAACTGGCATCGCTCTGATTTGGCTCGCGCACACTCTGCACCTCAACCAAAAAGTTTTGATCAGAGCAATCAGAGCGAGAGTCTCGAGAATGGTGGAGCAGAGAGGCAAAACTACTGATCTGGATTGTGTTTCCCAAAAGCATTGTTAGCTAACTACGGTCATTAGTTCCATTGAACTCTCTTGGTAACGACGGAACTTGCGACCATAGTTGCATCCCCTGTTCAGGACTTCAATTGCAGGTCAGTTTTATCTGAAAATAGGCTACTATATATATATATATTTATTTATTTATTTTTACTTAGTTAAGCAGGGCCTGAATTTCAGCAGTATTGCGCATAATTCTACACATTCCTGCAGGTTTTGCGTTTATAATGCGGGAAATTCCCGCACACATTTACGTTGAATCAAACAGATTCTTAGAGCAGTTCAGTAATTTTAAAACTTTCTGTGAGAGGTAATTTCACAAACAGTGAGTGATTCAGCAATACAGCATTATCTCTCTCTCTCTCTCGCTCTCTCAAATAATGCACAAATGGCCTCACATCCATAGTTTCTGTTCTTGGTTAAGCATTAAACTGCTAGCAACAGTTAGCAGTAGCAACCCCATTTCTATCATCACTCAAAATACGATGTGCTAAAGGACATCATTATCTATTGTAAAGTTACCAGCCCCAGGTTTAGAAAATTGACCATGGTTTTACTAAAATTAATGAAAATTAACCATGATTTTACTACAAGTGAAACCAAAAACCATGGTTACTAAGGTAACAACAAATTATGGTTTTGCTACACAAACCATAATTAAACCATGGCATTTGTAGTAAAACTATGGTTATACAAATGGTAATCAATCCGCTAAAAAGCTATGGTTACTATACTTTTACTATAATAAAACCAAAGTTCATTTTCATAAGGGAAAATATGACCCATAACAATGCAATGACATGTTCAATATTATGATTTTTCTATAAAGATATTGTGATGGTGTAATTATTGTTGTACTAATTTTAACATATAGGCAATTTAGTAACTATAGTTATTTTGCACGGCCCCATTTTTTTTATGTGATAGCCCTGTACATTATCTCTGATGCTAATGACTGTGAATACTCACGGGCTCTGCACTCTTCAATCCTCATGTTAGTGTTTTGCTTTGAATTACTCATTTTAAACCTGTTAGGAAAATAGAAAAATACATTACAATACAGAACTTTAGTTTTTACAGAACACATTAATTATGATTGTATATATATTTTTTATTCTCAAAAACTCATTTACAGTATAAGTATATAAAAATTCAATTTGAAACAGAGTATTAAAAAGTTAGCATGTGCAGTTATTACCTTAAAGGGATCATGACATGGATTTATTTATTATTATAATTTTAATATGTTCCTTGAGGTTTACTTATGTTAATAAAGTTTTTGCACAAAAAAAAAAAAAAGATATGTGGAACATTATTATTTTCCACCCTCATTCTGACCCTCTCTCTAAATGACCCGTTTTAAGGGGCGGGTCCTTTAAGGCTTGCCAGTAATCGGCCAGTGTTATGAGTGGCTAACGTCAATGCATAGGC